GACAGCTCCAGAATACCCTATCTATCTGTACAATTTATATAATAGTAGAGCGTAAACTATACTCAAATGTACCATTCGCCCTCTATCTAATGGCTATAGATCTGGAATGCAGTGTCGATAAGCAAGTCTTTCTGTCAGTAATTGGAGGTTATACGGCCAGCTTTAATAGAGCAATCTAGCCAACTTCCTGATACTTGACGGAAAATTCGCCCTCCTTGTTTAATATTTAACTGTACGAGGGGCCGCTATTCCCTAGGTTATGATATAAATAAAGGCATAGTCCACATTCAATGCGGCCTATGGCGGCCAATTGTGTTGGCAGCCATGCTGCCAAGTCAAAAAAAAAAAAAGGCAAACTGAGATCCTCCATATCAAGTTTTTCCTTCTTATCGCCTCAACAATGAAGATGTCAGTAGCGTCGGGGCAACATCTAGATTTTGCCAACACCATCTATTAAAACGAAGTTCAAACCCTAGAAGAAAGCGTCAGCACAGTAACGATTGCCCGAACCTTTACATTTAGCAGCTTAATTCGATATAGATATCTAATAAAGGCTAAATCCAATGTCATATTTGACCCTTTGGTACCAACACTGTAACAGATGCAGTTAATAGACGAGTTGGAGTGTCCCAATTTAGTATTCCGAGTTGTGATTCCAAGGTCGCAAATGTCGATTAGGCTATATATTCACCAGCGACATATCATAACATCGCCCCTCAGTGATATGATCCAAATATTTAAACGATGAGAGAGTCTTTCATCCAAAGCAAGAAAAAAAGTATTGTAGAATATACAGAAGAGATATCCAAAATCTCCGCAACATGGCGCCCCAATGCCTGCCAGCCACAACTCAGCTCTCTATAGTATCGTGAGATTTTCAAAAGAAGCTACATTAGCGCAAACAAGCACCTCAGCCAGAATATACAGCCATTCCAATCCAGCCAGATCGAGCTCCAAAAGAGGACAGGTCGAGGTACTGAGACAGGCTAGGTGTACGGTCGCCGCTCTTTGACCCCTGGAGATGGAACACGGCGACAGCCGCGCTGCCTTGGAGAACATAAAGGCTCGAGCGGTCCACGGCGGAATCAAAAGAGCCAGTGGATCGACTGTCCCCAGTGATAACAAACTTGGTTCTGCCGGACACGGGGTCAAGCGCGGTGATGTTGGGCGACGCGCCGTCAGACAAGTACACGGTGTCAAACTCGCGCGCGAAGACGGACCAGCAGGTAGCGCCCTGGCCAGGTACAGTGATCTTGTTAGAGACGGCGACGGAGAGATTTCTCGCGATGGAAATGTACGAGGCGCCGTACGCCGGGTCTGTGACGACGCCGGCCGAGTCGGAGAGGAAGGTTAGGGAGAAATCGAGCAGTAGGCCTGGCGGGCGGGAGATGACGGGTTGCGGGTTGATACGGCCATTTGCGACTTGGTAGGCATACACGTAGCCGGGGCCCATACCATTGCCCTTGATGGTGACGAACAGAGCCGTCTGCGAAGGGTTGAAGACGATGTCGGAAACTGAATTTGGAGGGCCGACGGGGGGCGTTGTTTGGTTGATGGGCAGCGGCATGTAGTCGCCCAGAGGTTGGAGACGATCGAGAGTTTTAAAACACTGGACTCCCGCTCGTCTTCCGGTATTCGTGACACAAGCGATATCGTTCTTGTCCGAAACAGCCACCGAGTTGGGAAATTCGCCGCCGGTATGAACGGGCTCGCCTACGAGCTTTGGGCTGGCAGGGTCCGCGTCGGGTATTTCAAACCGGGCCAGCGTGTTGGAGCCGGAATTCACCGTGTAGAGGTATTTTCCATTGACCACGACAGAGTCCTGAGAAAATAGAGGGTCTGGATTCGGGGTCAGTTAGTTTTACGCTCTTTGAGCTCCGTTTTCTGAGAACGTTGGCCAGACTTACCGACACTGACTGTTCCATTCATGTTCTGGGAAATAGACCCGCGTCCACCAGTTGGGGTACGCACAGCTCTACTCTTGTCCAAAGAACCATCTTGCAGGATCGGCAACCCGATGATGGAGGCGCCGTCTGGGTTGCTGTCAAGGAAGAAAAGAGCCCGCTTTGAAGAGCCAGGCTTTGGGATGGGGCCGCCACAGGAAGAGGGAGAGGTGTCCTTGTCGTCCTTGACGCCTTTCTCACAGCCGCCCTCACACTTTGACGGGACACATTGAGCGGCTTCGGTGCATGCATACATGGTATTGCTGTACTTTTCAATAACGGTAGACTCGGTGACGGCAGTGACTACGACACCAGAGCTTTGGACTTTGACGTAGCTGAGGACACCGCTATCGCAAATAAGCTCCGCGCCTGACGAGACCTGGCTGTACTTGACAGCGTAGCCGAGGACATATTGGCCCTGGATCTTGGTGAAGACGCGGCCGTGCTGTTCTCGCTCGCATGTCTCGAAGCGGAAGCTGCCCTTGAGATCGAGGTCATACACCACGCGCCAGAAGAAGCCGGCGGCGCTGCCCGGCAGGTTGGTAATTTCGCAGCGTCCACTGCGGATCTCAAACTTGAACGATTGCGAGAGCGTGAGAAACTCTTGGACTCCGATGGTTGGTCGGGGGCTATTTGGCACGATACTTGACAATTCGGTGGTCGATGTGGATGTATTGTGTTTGGCCCAAGTCAAGTTGGACGGAACTTGCTGCCAGTTGCCCGGGTTAACAGTTGCTGTACTTAGCAGTGGACCAGCCTTTGCCAGTCCAACTAGCACGGCAAGACTTGTGGAATACTTCATTTTAACGAAAGGCAGAAAGGGGGGTTTGCTTTAGAATGACTTGAGTCTCGACTGAATGTTGAAACAAGCTATCAACATGTCGGGGCGAATATTAGGAGTTATATACGTATGGCCAATTCGTTGAGCATTCTGAAGTACAACCAAGTGATTCCAAAGGCTTTTCGGCCTTTCCACTAGCAAAGAGTTGCAGTAAGCTAGAAGGCAGTACAGAGGCTCATGCCGTGTTCCGCGTTGACATGGAACTTTACATTCGACAGGGACCATCCTTGTCGCTAATCATCAAAGCTTAGCAGACATCCGCCGACGCTAACCCAAGTCAAGAACAAACTTGTTCTGTCCATGGGAAATACGAGCGACCGCAGGAGTGAATTGTGCTCTGTTACGCTTGGTTAGTGCAGGGCTTTGTTCGTGCAGGGTCACTCAACTCGACACAACTCGGAGGGTATCTGCTGTGCCTTGTGGGTACGCGCGGTAGAAGATAAATAAGTGAGCTACAAGATTCCTCACCATAACAACTAGAATAGTCACACTAGGCTGTTTAGGACGCCTGAGCCGGGCAGTGTAATGGAGCCCTTCATGCCAAACTGGACACTAAGTCGGTGATAGATTCACTAGCCGGAACTAAACTGCAATACAAACACTCAGCCTTGGTTGTGTAAAACTAAACATCTTCCATGTTAGTACGCATTATTCGTCCGTGCCAAGGCGAGAAAACGTGGTATACAGCCATTGAGCGCATGCTGTGCGTGTAAACCGTTTTCTCAGCACCATCGCATAGCAATCCCTTCCGGCCTTTTATGCCCAGGGGGCTTGAGCACCTTTGCTCCACCAATTTACGACTGGACGTTCCATGATTTAGCAAAAGCTAGCGCCTTACTTCCATCCCAAGGACAAGTAGTTTGGCTAGGCGTGGTTGCACATTGCAGATACTCATGGCCGGAGTTTGCGACGGTTGTTCGTATTACTGGTTGGCAGGGCGTATCTTTGGATCGATCGCGAAATGCCGGACTATTACTCTCTACCCACGCCTAAGTCGGGGTTCTGCCGGGGTGGCTCCCCGAACAGCCACCAGAACGGGGCGAGTACTTTGGAATCTTTGGAATCAAATTCATGCCAGGGGTTCAAGGACTACGCATGTTACCCACCTGCCGACCATGACGAATACCAGTAATCTTGTAATACGCCCCGAGACCCCTAATATTCATTGCGAACCGCTACAACTGGCCCAGCTCACGCGGTTCCATGTATATCGCCCTGGGGCCCTAGAGCAAGCCCCGGCCACGGCGGATAAAGTCGTACAAACCGATAGCGAAGGACCTCTATGCAATATTGAGACTATCCGTATCCGGGTTATTTATCAATCATAGCGACACTAACGTCCAGTTCTTCCTTGCGGACTTTCTAGCCAGACACTGCTCCCTTTGATATCGTGACTGTTCTTAATTGAGGCGAAGAGAGGGTATTGTTTGACAACTTGGATCGGCAATATCAAGTAGATCCACTAGACACTAGTGTCTCCACGCCTTTAGCAGATGCTCCATTTACACGAGGCGACGTGGCATTAGGGTAGAAGGATGGGATGAACCGTTTGGTAACATATGACGAATTGTTGTCCTGTGCGAAGAACCATGGTGTCAGAAATTTGTGAAATTGTACAATGTACATCCAAAAGATAATAGAATCTACTTCCACTTCATGGTACTCAATAAATCACTGCATTATGATGCTATGTTTCCTAAAATTTCATGGGTCCGAGCACCGGTCATGCCATAAACAAAGGTATCATGTGACAATTAAACGTGCTTTCTTTCCAATTGCATAATGCTGACGTTGCCATCGTAAATCTCTGCATGTTTCCTTTCGTCTGAACAGAGGTTTATTCTGGCGGTTGGAATCAAAGTCTCGTACAGGCTAGCTCTTCGCTGAATCTAACAGTATATTTAAAAAAAAACTTACTATACAAGTCAAGGGGGTAAATACCACCGTCGAAAGACGATTGACTGTGATTGGTCCTTGTTTTCAGCTTTGATGACACAGTGTATTGGACGCCTGGTTTCCGTGGTTCGAGGGGCTGAGTCTGCACATGTGGTGTCAAGTCTGGTTACATTCCCCCGTCATGATGGCACAGTACGTCCCAGAACAGGCCATGGGCCACGTATCATGATGCAAAGTGAAGCTGTTGGTGGAAAAGTCTGCTCCGAGACTCTTCCAACAGCATCTACAGTAGCTGAAACACCAGATTGTTCCATGGCACCATGGACATCGCGGCAAGCCTGGCGTACTCGATTGTCGTTATTCTCGTTCTGCATCTGAATTTCTTGCGACGTCGTCTCCTCGAATTACCCGTGGTTGATGCCCAGCGCCTCGTGGCAAAGTCTCCGGCGTGGGCAGTATGGGCGGCGATTATTGCGACCGGAATGGTGAATTTTGCAAGCCTCTCACTCTTTCACGCGCGACGCATAACAGACGACGCTGGACGGTTCGTGATTCACGGCTTTATCACAAGTCTCGTATATCATTGTACCAAACGATGGATACCGGCTGTCTGGCATGTCCTGAGCAGCCAAGTCACCGGCATCAGATTTCCCCGGCTCAAATCGTTGACTCGGTACGAGTATTCCGCGTTGCCGCAACACCATGTCCGACTTGTGAGAATCAATGGCCGATTTTGCCGTCACAAGTTCCAGTTGTTGCAATTTCCCCTACAAGACTGCCCAGCGTACGATGCCGTATCATACACATGGGACGGTCAGAACAACGACAGGCTTCTCCGTCTGGGTGACGCGCATCTCGGCGTCACAGAAAATGCATCCATCATTTTGCATGGCTCCGTCCCGTGGGTTGGGTCTCGATACATGTGGATAGATTCCGTATGCATCAACCAAAATGACTTGCACGAGAAAAAGACGCAAATACGGGTCATGCAAAAGATATATCAGCGCGCTGCCTGTGTCAGAGTGTGGCTTCTACCGCCGAAAACCATGCAAAGCATTGTACGACCACCTGAATGGGAGCACGACGCAAAAATGCAAGTCGTGTGCGAAAACATCTTTACGTCAAGCAATGCAGTCTTGGGAAATCATCTCGAAAACCTCCTGAGTCACCCATACTGGAATAGAGTCTGGATTGTTCAAGAACTTGCCGCCTCACAAAAGGCAATAATCCATTTCCGTCATTATGTTATTGACTGGAATGTATTGCTCGCATTCGCCGACAAGCACTGGCCGCAATCGCTCCATGAACGATTCCAGGTTCAGCTCTCCAGTTTTGCTTTGCAATTCGAAAAGGGGGCGTCTGCTAATACTCTCCGTGGAATAAGACAGATATCCACCATAGGCCATCATCAAAGAAAGCTTGCTGGTGGCGACAAGTCAAGCGTGTCCAGCCTTCTGACAGATTTCGCGGGCTGTCGGGCGACAAATCCCCTCGACAACGTCTATGGACTCGTCGGCATGGCATCGCCTGAACTCTCGACATCTGTCACAACAAATGCCATGAAATTTTACGAGATAGACTATGGCCATTCGCCTCTGAAAGTTTATACCGACATAATCAAGGGCGCTATGCGACTCGGCAAAGCCTACACGGCCGGCCATGACGATTTCGCGAGTGAGATTTTGATGTTTTCTGGAGTCGGCTGGCCAAGATCTGTTACAAGTCTACCATCGTGGGTAACGGACTGGAGCTCTCTCCCGGACTGTCTCATCGATTCTTTTACTAGATTCAGGCGGGAACTCAGCGCGGGCGGCGGGCGTTACTCTCGTGCGTCTCCAAACTACATGGTCCGGGGAAACTATCTCTTGGTATCTGGTGGCTGCCGGGTGGATAGCATTTCGGCTATTACGCAAATGATAGACCACGACAAGCTCGATAGACCTTGGTTCAGCGAGATATGTCGTATTGTTGCAAGTCAGCTATCGCTTCTAAGCGTAAATGATGTGAAGAGGGCAAGATACAGTAGAGACTATCGGCAATGCCCCCCTCGCTGGCAGGGTGCAATATTTAGGACCTTGGTAGGAGAGCCTGCCTCGTACTGGGAAATGAAGGTGGGCAACGGATTCGGGTACGACCGGCCAGACGCCTACAGAGATTGGGACGTTCGACAAGGCCGTCTAAAGGCAGCTGGCTTACGCGAGTATCACCATAGAAACACTCTACCCAACCTCGCGGAGTTGAGAGATTCATTTGACTTGTGGTCCAACCTCCCCCTTCTTACGCAACGTCTTGATGACATTATCCGCACGAGCATCTTGCGGGACCAACCAGAACTACAAGGACGACAGCTCACGAAAGAGATAGCAGAGCTTACTAAGAGCTTGAGATCCGAGATCCGAGAGCATTGTGCGCAGTTCGTCTTTGTGTGTCGACAACAAACTCAAGGGCGATGCTTTGCGCTCACCAGGACCGGTTATATGTGCCTGGTCCCACCTGGGAGTCGGATTGGGGACGAACTGTTCGTTTTAGAGTCGTCAAGTCTTCCCTATCTTATTCGGCTTCAAGATTCATTACAAGGATTCAGAATACAACCGCAAAGTCTCAAGGGGCACTTAGTAGGGAGCTGCTTCGTGCTGGGATTGATGAGGGGAGAAGGAACACATGCAGCTGACTACCAGCATGAAGAGGAAAGACAAAAATGGGAAACTAAAAAAGGAACTGTCGTCTTGCTATAGGAAGATCTAGGCTTGTATAATTAGACACGTAATAAGAATTATGCTTGTATAAGAATACGAATAAATCTTGAAAGATTTTAAAACGTATCGTGCTATATCAGGTGAATACACTTGATAATTATACCGGCTATATAATTTCCATGTATTAAGTCTACTTCCGGCCACATCTGCATTCCAGTGCTCCTTGTACGTACAGGCTAATGAAGAACAGTTAATGCTTTAACTGCGATGTACTTTTACCCCGCAGGGTAAGCAAGATATACAGTTATGCTCTTAATCTAAAGGAATTATGCGGAAGCCAAGTATGCTCACATCTACGCTGCATATCCGCCGGGTGCACTTGGGATGAAGATGGCAGCAGTATTCCAGTAACGGGCAAGCGTTTACTGACAAAATGATAATTACTATTCTAGGTATGCTAGTGCTAAGGATTACGCGCCACTAAGTGGATGTACCTTTGTGTGTCGAAGCTGAAAGACCACATGCAGATATTATGGCTTTTCGAACAGCCCTCGAAGTAAAGTCATTGGTTGGACGATATTGTATCCGTGTTGAATTGAAACGACAACGTTGTACATACTTGCTCACTAGTTGCTACAATAAAAAGGTCCAAATCAGGAATATATAACAGCGAAGAGAGCGCCCTTCTAACATATTCTCATAAAAGAGCATTGTATAATAGAATCTTTGCATCCAGCGATATTGGACTGGGGATTACAAACAAGTCTCTCAATCTATAAAACCACGGCAGTGATAGCACCCAGCAGGACGATAAAGTTGACACCAGCCTTGGAGCCCGAGCTGACAGGAGGGCGGTTCGAAGGAGCCGCATGGGTGCAGTTACCGTTGCACGTCTGCGAGGGCGCAGTCCAGGTGTTTGTGTCTGCATGTGAGGGCAAAGAGCCCGTACCAGTGGAGACATTAGGCACAGGTGCAATTGTCTCGGTAGGCTGACCGGCAGGCTGACTGATAGGTTGACCAGTAGGCTTACTGGCAGGCTGAAGGCTGGATTGAACGCTGGACTGCGCTGTGGGAACCTTTGTGGGAACTTCAGTCTCAATAACGGGGCAGATTGTCGTGTACAGAGGGATAGTTTTTGTGGTCGTGTGAGGCCGAGCAGGACAGTCAGTTACAGTCGAAGCACACTGAGTAATGGTGTGAATCTCGGTGGTGTAGACAACTGAAGTAGTCCAGCTAACAGTACTCGTAGGAGCCACGGTAGAGTTACCCCATGAGCTGGTACTCTTGATTGTGGACAGAGTAGACGGGACCGATGTTTGAGTGTGAGTGTGAGTGTGAGTCTTGGTTGTGGTGTGGTTAGTGTGATGAGAGTGAGTAGACACAGTCTCAGTCTCTGAGCTTTCTTGGCTGCTGGTCTTGGTAGGCTTAGGGGTAGACGAAGTAGCGTGGTGAGTAGGAGTGGCGGTCTCAGACTCAGAAGTGTGAGCAGGAGGAGGCAGGTTGACACAAGCAGGAAGGGCAGGATCATTGGTAGGAGTCTTGAAAAGCTCAACCTCGGCGTTGCGGCGACGGGTCAGCCCAGGGAGGACCTTTCCACCGGCTCTATTCCATTGAGGAAGTTCCTGGGCAGCAACGGTATTAGGGTCCTCGCCTGCGTTGAGACGTCGAATAAGCCTGGAAGACGCGACGTTCCCGCAGCCGACGTTGAATGCCCAGCTGACAAGAGCGCCATACTGGTTCGCGTTGAGAGTGACCTTGGCGCTTGTGTCTTGGTAGATGCAGTTTTCGGCAACCTATCAAAGGAAGTGAGATTGGGTTGGCACGAAATCAGGACCCGAATGTACCTACCGACATGTCATCGCTAAGAAGCTTCAAGCCATCGGCCTTGGAAAGAGGAGGGAAGGGATACTTGACCTCTGCGCAGTTAGGCTTCTTGCAAAGATGACCATATCCGAGAGTCTCGAGGTGCTGAGGTCCAGGGTCTGGGTCTATGAGACAGCATGTTAGAATAACCAGACTTCACTATCTAGCCTTGCCATTCGTATACACTCACAGACGTGGTCGTACCATCCTTCAAAGGTGGAAATGAACTTGACGGTAGCTTCATTAGCCTTGGGAGCACTGCAGGCATGGACAATGGCAGAAGCGCCAAGGATTAGAGTAGCCGATCTCTTAAGCATTTTGGCTGCAATTAAGAATGTTCAATTAAAGAATGCAAGGAGCAAATAGCGTAAGGAGTGTTTAAAAGTCAAATGAATGTCGTGGTCAACAAAACGAGTGTGTTTCACGATCGAGCCAGGGAACAAGAAAAGAAAATACGTTATTTGAGTCAAGAAGTAGATTGGGACGCTGTGTATGCCACCCATCTTCTTATACACCAGTCGAAAGAGTCGCTTTTCTCCAGAGCATCCCCTTTCAACCTGTAACTTCCTATCCTAATGAGCCGAAGATCTTTTTTTAGTTCCATCGCCACAAGCAGCTTTCAGCATGGGAAATGAGTAACACACGCTAACATGTCTAGCGGCGGACAAACCTTTCCCCTTCTTACATGAAGGCCGGGCCGCTGATGTCCGAATTGAAGCTATCAACAACATCTCCAGGGAGGACCCTGGTGACCTTGATGCAGTTCTTAATTCTGTCATAATCTGTTCTCCACCTTGGTAAGATCTTCTTGTACGTTTTCGTGGACTCATGCCACGTTATGGTGCAAGGATCTGCTTAATCCTTGTCTATAGTCGATCTGGTGCAAGATTTGGCATGGTCGCCTGCTGAAGGGACGATCAGCATTTCTTGTTCCTGAACTTGTGCATGTTTTCTCACAGGGGTGAAAAGAAAATATGGATGACGTTTTCCAAGGTACAACTCTCTTTGGAAATCTATGCATATCATTGCCGCAGTTCGAGGCTCGTTCTTCGCGGAGACAACGATGTACAGCCTGAAACATTCCATTATTAAGCCACGGGTCAGCTTGGAAGTGCTAGAGAGGCATACCACGCCTGAAATAGACATGGGCTGCCAAAATCTAACCCATTTCAGTCTGTCCTCTTTGGTGTGCCGCGGACGGTCAGCCACAGCGCGGCGGTCAGTCGAGCAGCAGTAGATTTTGCAACTAGTCATGGTAGAAGACCTCCATAGATGATTTGACGGTACTTCCCCTCATGTGGTCCAATTCTATCAGCTGATGTCGATCTATCCCAGGCCGCGCTAGGACTTGCGTTTGACGTGATCTGGTCTTGACAGCCGTCGGACAAGGATCGGCTCTTAAGATTCGTCCAGCCTTGCGAGTTCCCCATCGAAATGAAACCAGACGAGATGTTGATTATTCTACATGCTGTGGCCGTTTTGGATCTTCAGCTCAATCTGGGAAATGGATGTGTTGTGGAAAAAGTGGCGTGAGTGGTTAATTAAACCAACCTAAATGCTGGGAAAACGTATTGCAGATCCGTCCTATTTCATTCAGCCAAAACGCCACCTTGGCTATCCAAACGTGCTGGCCGAGGGCGTTACGCTGTTTGTCTGCCTTCAACTAGCGTCAATACAGGGGTACCGGAAGAAGAATGTTTTTGTAGAATTCAACATCAAGGGTTGAGCGCGCACGTCGCGGTGCTATCCAAATGATCGTCTTTGCATCGTATCTCGTACTGCAGGTCGCTGCCTAGTTGAGAGTCCCCTCTCCAGATATTGAATACGCCTTCTAATCGCTGCTCATTTCAAAGTAAACGGCGCTGCTTACGACACTTGCCAGACTAGCAGAGATCTCGCCCACAAGACAAAACGACTTGACGGATTTGCAGCCGTAGATGCCGTGCCAAGTTTCTGAACACAAAGTTACAACGGAACGGTGATGCACGCGGAAAATAACGTCTTGATAAAAGTTGTAATACACGTATTCCACATGGCAATCATCATTCCTGCGGTGTTCTGGTTGTTATATCACGCCGTACAAACTGCCATTGCCCAACCACTTACCAACCAGACAGGTTATTCAAATTCAAGGAGAAATTGAGAGACCCAATTCCCTTCCAATGATCCAGGCAGCCTTCTCACCAACAATGAGCGCCGTATTATTCGTGTTTGCGCCCACATTCTCAGGGCAAATTGACAAATCTACAACCAGTCAGCACCACGTCCCTGCCTTGCCATGCATTACTTACCAGCAAGCTTCAGTCCCTCTGTTCCATAAACATTCAAGTTTTCATCCACCACGCCCTTGTATTCCCTGGGAGCCATCTTGCACGTCCCCAACGAATGCCACGTCGTATTCATGTGTCCTCGGATCCAGTGCTCGATTGCGGCATCATCCTCGGCATCGTACTCAATCGGCGGCAGCCTGCGTCTGTCCTCCAGAGAGGTAAACAACCCGTCGGCGGGCTTCTTGTCAGAAAGAGCGGCTTTGCTGCCCTCGCGGAACTGCGGGTGTCCAACCGCCATCTCGCCGTCGTAGCAGTTTGTGCGGCGAAAGATTTCGCGCTGCTTCTTGTACGCCCACAGCAGCTTCTTCAAATCGGCAGGATGGGTCAAGAACCCCGTGTTGAAGGAAGGAGGCTCCGCCGGGTCCTTGGAGGTGATGTGAATGTTTCCACGAGAGTAGGGATAAGCCGTGTAGCAACACATGTTGATGCACTGGCGCGGACCGCCGCCCGCGTCAGACGTCGTCTCGGGGTCAAAGGAGTAGTTCACCGCCGCCATGAGCATCAGAGGCCTGTCGGTCTGCTTCTTGAAGTCGCGGTCCCAGAGCTGTTGGAAATCCGGCCCGAGCTCGGCAACTTCGGCTTCGGTAGGGCGAATCTTGGCAGCCACGTCGATGCCATTCCAGCCCAAGATGGGATTCTTTTCCTCGAGGGCTTTTGCAAAGTCCAGTCGTCCGCTGTTGAGGCCGTCGAGAGTTTGGTCGGGCGCAAGAGTGGTCTTGTAAGGGTACCCGATCAAGTTATGGTCCTGATACTCCTCGCCGACTCCAGGCAAGTCCGACACGACGGGGATGCCTAGTTTATCCAAAATTGCCGCGCTGCCAACGCCGGATCGCTCTAGAATTTGAGGCGTGCCCAGAGCACCGGCGGATACGACAACCAACTTCTTTGCCTTGACAGTATACGTTTTTCCTTGTTCGCCAGCAGCGGCGGTCGTGGCTCGGTATTCGACGCCCGTGGCACGGTTGCCGTCGAAAATGACGCGGGTCACAGTACTCTCGACGAGAAGATGAAGATGGGGATAGTTTCCCGATGCCATCAGCGGATGGACGTATCTGTGAGCCGTATCTTGGCGTGCACCACGGGGACAAATATACCGCAGCCATCGGGAGAAGCCATTGGAAGCCTCGAAATCCTGCAAGTCGTCAACCTCTTGCTCACCTGTAGCCTTGGCAGCCTCAATAATATCATCCTGGGCGGTATTTGCTACATGCGTGCCAGATGAGACGTTGATGGGCCCGTCGTAGCCGTGGAGCTCTTTGTTGACGCCGGGGCTATCATAATGATACGTCTCGAGCTTCTTGGCAAAGGGCAACAAGCTTTTAGCGTCCCAGCCTTTGGTATTCCAAGAATCATAGTCGCATCGCTGTGCTGCTCTCACATGTGAGCCTCGGTTAGATACATGAGTTTGGACTCCGACCAACCTCTAGTGTACATCATAAAGTTGATGGAAGAGCCCCCGCCGAGGACACCGCCGGCAGGGACAACGGCCTCGCGCCCATTCAAGGCCTCTTCCCTGTTGGACTTGTAAAATATAGTCTTCTTGGATGTTGGCTGCAGGTGAGAAAGGTAAACAGCAGGTGTGACAATGGTCGAGTCGTTCAAGTTATTTGGGCCCTGCTCAACTACCAAGATTGACAGGCTGGGATCTGCTTCCGCAAGCCGGCCAGCAATAATGCACGCTGCCGTGCCACCACCGGCGAGGATTACGTCGTACTCCTTCTTTTCCTCGACACTACCCATTATGAGTCGTTGGAGAATGGATACTCAAAAGTCCACTCTTGAAACGAAGTTTGCTGGGACTCGTTCGCAGATTACAAGAGGGCCAGTGCGGGCAGAAGAAAGCCTGGGTGCTAGAGAAATTACACGTCGGGATTCGGCCATTTGAATCATGTCAACTTCCCCCCTTTGTCCGGTTTGCCTCTTGCGGGGTAACAAGAGTCCAGCATGTATCGATGATGCGGCTGAGACGACCAAGCTCCAGAAAGAGGGGTTTGCGCGGCCAAGAGGAGCTGAATGCCGCGGCTTCGGCGGCACCGACTCATTGATGTCGAGCCAGGAACAATGTGCCGTGTTGGAGTCCGTTCTTATAAGTGTATCGGGGCATGTTGGAACTGATAAGCTGCCACGCCTAGAGTGAGTAACCCAGCCGTTAACCTGGCTTGCATTTCCGTGTGGGCTGCGCAGCGACACTATTGGTGGTTCAAGACCAGTTATCATATGAGGTTCTTGCGACAGTCAACGGTTCCTACGCTATTCCCAAGTCAGGATTGTCGTGTACGCGGGAAAATCGGCGTTTATGCAGGCGTACCAAAAGGGACTATACCGGCCACATAACGTCATCCACTGGTGCAAATTTATAGGCGGCCCCGCGGTAGACGTTTTATCCTCAGCTATCAGCCATCATCTACCTGGGCGTTGGTTAGTTGCTGATCTAAGAGGGCGCCGCATTATACTCTTGGGTTATACAAAAGTAGATGTGAATTTTTAAGAGGGGATTAATAGTAAATTGGTAATCGATTTTACTATTGTAGCTGTCTATACGGCCTGTTTAAAAAAGGATTATGTTCTCGCTTACGTTAGCCGAGTAAGGCTGGATCACGTGACTTTGTAGAAAGTTACTTATTTATCGGATAGATTTACTGTTATTTGTCCTGGGTCAAAGCATTAACAGAAAAACTATAATTATAGTATTATAAAAAGCTTTAATATTTAATAATAAATTAAATA